AACCTATTCAAAGATTAATTCCATGTGTGCACACACACCCTCACAGGTTTCCATTTTTTGTGGGGACATTCCATAGGCATAATGGTTTTTCTACTGTACAAACCGTATTTTCTATCGCCCTACACCAACCCTACACCTAAACCTACCCCTCACAGGAAACTTTCTGCATTTTTAGATTTTCAATACACTCCATTCTGTGTGAATTATAAGCTTGTTTCCTCATGGGGACCTAAAAATGTCCCCACAAGGTCAAAGTTTACTGGTATTCCTATCTTTGTGGGGACATTTGGTCCCCATACCAGGTACACACACACACACACACACACACACTCTCTCGCTCTCTTTCTCTCTCTCTCTCACACACACACACACACACACATTAACATTTGCCCATCATTCTGTACACAGGTGACTAACTTAACTTCAAAACAATCTTTTTAGCAAAAAAAAATCTGTTGAGGGGATTTGCTTTACTTCCCATAAGGAAATAAACATGACTTTCAGATAGATTTATAAACAAATGTGTTTCCATAGCATGACTGACAAGTGCCATCTGTACAATCGCATGCTTCTGGCCTACCCATATACCTGCAGACTGCCACTTGAATCCCCTCTTCATCTATTTTGGAGGATGATTTTTTTGATGTCTCCTTACTTGCCCTGAACCTTGAGACGCCGCACATCCCACTGTCATTTGCCTGTGAAGTCAGATATTACTCGCATTAACAAATAAACACAAAACACTGACAAACATAAACAGTATACATACTGTCATGATATGCAATCTTTGACGTACTCTTGTCATGCTGCTGCCTCTGATGTTGTTCAGGAAGGCCGATACCTCCTCATCCTGGGCAAGAAATAACCCCGCATATAGAGAGGGTTCCTCAGTCCTGTCCATGGAAAATGACAAAAAAAAACTCTTTTAACTGACCAGACATTACTCTACATGCAACCATTTCTATGTTGTTTTGATATGAACATTAATGTGTGTATGTGTACCCCCTTGATTTTCTAAAGCGATAATGTTTGCGATTGCCATCG